AGTTTATTCGAATTATTGCTGCATTGTAGCATAGAATTTGTGAAACCTTGAAAGCTCGCCACTGTGCAAAAAAAAAATTTGCTCATAATAATGTATTGTCAGTGACCACCATGTTAGATGATCTAAGGCATTCTTATCATGAAATATAGACAAAAGTTTGCAATTTTACCGGCAAATTCCTAAGTTCAAACTTAAACTCCAAAAGTCATTATTTTTAAATGAGTTAGGTACAGAAATATTCCTCTTAATGGGAGCCTTAGTATATCATCTTCAGCCTGCTGAAAGCATGGAATGACTCATGACACTCATTGAATATTTTTTAAAGGAATTTCTTGAAAAAAACCCAGGATTTAGGAACTCCCATGTTAATAAAATTCAGTATTAGACTTTTATTGTTTCACAATCAAATTTTTAGGCAAATGACATATTTAGGGCTCAAAATGTTCATGTTTCAGAAGTAAAAATAATTTTCTTTTTAAAAGAAGTTGATAATTTCCTTTGACCAGTATAGAATACTAATCCTGTCAAATCAATCTATAATTGGACCTGAATCATGACATTACTGTAATACAAAGAACCATTTCAAATGTTTTAAGAGGATTTCATTCAGTATTAATCACACTTTCTCTCTTCCTTGATCTTAAAAATTTTGGAGACAGTATGTTCAGGCAGATTTGGCTGCAAATTAAAAGGGAGAGAAAACAATACAATTCTATGTCTCCTAAAATATCCTCTGTGACTTATTTTTTTGTGAAGCATTTTACAATACTCATGTGTGCAGCTGCTGTACACAGGACACATGTATTTTGGGCAAAGCAGCAAACATAGCACTGTGAGCTCTGGAAACAGCCTGAAATGTGGACAAAACAGAGCAATGGCTTTGAAAAGCCACATGAGCTGTTTCACAAATGTAACTTAGATATCCAGCAAATGCAAAAAGAACAACTTTGTTATGGTGTCTGGTCCAGAAAGCAATGCTTTTAGCATGTGTGGCTAATAGGAGCCTTAGCTGTGCTTGATCACTTCCCCCATAAGCTGTTTAAACACGAGGCATTAGGCTGGAAAGCTGAGCACTTTCACAGAGGATGGGGGTTAATAATTCACAGTGCAAAATCCTGTTTGATCTGCTGAGAAATTCAATCCAGCTAGAGCATAATTTTACTTAATAGCATGGTGGGCAAGGAGGTTGCCAGAGGTGGGATGCTCCCCTCCTGGCTGAGGTCAGGCTGCTGGAGCTGGCCCATGTGCCACCACCTGGAGTTCTGCTGTCCCCCTTCCTCATGGTCCTGCTCCCGTTTGCTGTCTGTGCGTTTAACTCATGCACATGTATTCGTGTCTGAGCTCCATTTTCTCTGGCAGCTGCTGTAGGTGAGTTGTGGATGCGTTTTTGGAAGTCTCCCAAGGCACAGATACTCCCAGCCCGCCAGAAGGAGCCTCATTCTCCAGGTGGAGGCTCCCCAGCTGAGAAATGTGCCAATAATGACAGAAGAGAAGCCAAGCTTTTCCCTGGAGTGTTGATGCACAGGTACATTCACTGCTGTGCGTGCCTCTGAGGGCTGCCTGTCAAAGCCAAGAGCACAGGGGAGCTGTGTAGGGAGGATTTTCCTCTTGTGCACATCCTGCACATGGCAATTCACTGCGTGCTTCCTTGCAATGTCCAGAGCTGTGTCTTTGAGGGGAATGGAAAATTTGTCAAAATGTTGCCACTTTAAGAGAAATCTGGGTGAGTTCCCTTGTTCTTAATAGAATGTACCTTTCTTTTACTGCTGCTAATGCAGAAAGCAGCTGATCATATTCTGTGGGACTCACATTGTTTTTATAGTACTTTGCCTCTGGAATAAACCAGAGCATATTCCATGTCAAGAACGGCAAGGATTTTATGGTGGAAGACAGGACATGGATTCTCATGGATACTCTTTCTTTCCTTCAGACCTCTGAGAGAAATTGAGTGCTGTACTGTGCCATCAGCGACATGACAGCTCCTCAAAAATAGAAAGGATTGTCATTTGTCACTTTAAAGTGCATTCAACATGCACTTGCCTATTTGAGTTGTTAAAGCATTTCGTCAAGCACTTGTGCAACACCTCATCCTAACCCACAACTGCAGCCCTTTGCTGTAATATAAACAGTGATGATAAATTAATGTCTGGCTTGGCAATATTGCTACGGTCTCCAATTCTGAGAAAGTGTTTTCTTTTAGAGAAGAGAAACCAAATGGCAGATTCCACTGTCTCTCACCCTTCCTGTCCATGAACAAGCTGATCCTTGTTGAAAAGCCTGTGTAACTTGCTCTGAAGCAGGAGACACTTTGGAAGCCCCTCACCCTTGAAATAAGGACAGCACATCAGTAGTTATTTCTCGGGGATTTTTTTAGTTAGCCGTTTCAAAAGGAGAAGGAAAGAGTTTCTTGAAAACCGAAGGTTTCACAAGTAGAAAGACCAGAGCAGGCAGAGGTGAAATGCATTACAAACAGGATGCTCCTTCCAAACCCAGAATCACCAGCACAGAAGTAACAATGTGCTGTTGTTCACCTTCCAGAGTCTGGAACTGTTTCTGTACATGATGCAGAGTGGGTAGTCAGAATCCCTGGATAATCAGCTTTGTCAGCTGGGCTCTCACAAGGCAAGCACTGCTTCCTAAGGCTGCTCAGCCTGAGCTCACATAACACCCTGGCTGAGACCAACAAGGTGACTGGCATTGCTCAGAAGTACCTTACCAAAAATAAACATCCACGGAGCCATGGAGCCACTGCTCTTCTGTGCTGCTCTCAAGGGCTCACTGAGTTTCCTGGAGACAGAAAAATCAACCAGGAGGAAGCACTCGTGGCCCACTGGAATGGTTGCATTGCCATGCTCTCTCAGAAAGGACCAGCCTTCAAGCTGGGGAAGTTTCCAGACATGTATTTCCGTCCCTGCTAGAAAGAGCCATGGCAAGCAAGGGTTAGTAATGCTTTTTACTTGTTTTTCATGTCATGCATACATCAGGGTATGATCATGAATTCATACACTAATTTTGTTCAGTGTCCTCACAGCCTTAGAGAAAGTAAAGGCAGGGAGCCTTTGCAAGCAGCATTTGACACCAGCAAACTTGTGGGTTGAGTCAGAGAGCTGGGATAAATGAAAGGGTTATCCCATCATTCCTAGAAACTGCTAAGTTATGGACAGCAGAGGGATAGCCAAGACAGCAGGGTGGGAGGAGTGCTTATAGGAGTGGAGGAGTGAGGACAGCATGGGTAGCCTTGCTTAAAGGAAGGTATACTTCCTTTTTATATATCCCAGCTGCTGCTCCCTCAGCAAGCTCAGCTCACAGACCACAAAGCCTGCATGACAGAGCAGCAGCTGGGAGATATAAAGGCAGGGATTCAAATGAAGTGTGTGTATTTTAAAACATGAAAACACTGCAGCAAGGTCCAACCCCGGCTTGTCTTTTGCCCTGCCCTGACTACTTCCAGCACCATTAATCTCAAGGGAAAACTAGCTTGGCCTTTGAACTAGGGCTTTCCTCTCTGATTACAGTGTTTGGACTACACAATGCCAGCTAAGCCCCAGATGCTGGAGCTGTGCATCAAAGGCACTCCCATTCCCAGATAGAGGATGCTGTGTTAAGGGACTGCCACCTGGCAGCGTCTCCAAGGAACTGCAAAAACACTTCGCAGAGACAGAGGTTAATGAGCATCAGCCTGCAGGAGACTCCTGGTGCAACCAAGAGAGAAAGATCAGGTCAGGTTGAGCCAGACTCGTGTTGCTGTCTGATGGAGTTGGCATTGAGGGGCTGCTACTGTGATCAAAGACACCAGGTCAGAGAAACATCCACGGTGACAACCCTAGCAGGGACTTTCCCACTCACTTAAGAAGTTGTTCTTCCTTTGAGAAAAATCCCACTGTTTTCCCTCTCTTACTTCAAGCTGGCTGAAGATGTCTGACCTAGTTGTACTCAGTTATGGTCTCTTTTTAGGTAAGATTTAAGCTTTTGATTTGTGAAGATACACTTAAAAAGATAGGTCTCACCTTGTCCCCCCTCTTCTGGTTAAACAGAGAAGACTAAAGGTGACAACTGTACTGAAGAGTGGTGTGGGATGAACAGAAAAACAAAATAATCTCCCTTGACTAAGACCCAATTATCCAACTTTCATTTTGAAGTCTTCAATACTGCCCCCTTACCTGGGCTACTCTTTCCTTCCTTTGTCTTGCTACAAGCTGGCAGATGAAACAAGAGCATCTTCTCAACACATTTGCTGGATTTTCCCCCCAGGTAAGACTCTCAGACAGGCTGCCTAAAGCTTTCTAAACCAGCTGACTTTGAAAAGGAGCATACAAAAGGCAGTAATTTCTCTAACATTTCAGAAGACTTCAATTGGGAACATTTTGGAACGTGTACTCTGCTAGCCAATATCATAGGAAACAAACTTCCAAACTTTTGTTTGCAAAGAGACCTGCATGACCAAGACAAATTTGAGGCTCAGCTGAGCCTGAGATGCTTTTGCCAGCAGTTTTTGCTATGCTTAGCACGTGAAGGACCCTTGACAGGTAGTACAAAGTTTGGTTATCTTTTCATAATTTATGTATAAATTTGCATACAGAGAAAAGCTCAAGAGAGATTGAGGGCTGGAGAGATTGAGTCACTTTTAATTTTTAGAGTCAGCACAGTGGATTAAGGTCCTGAGCCACATCATTAACACACCTTCAGCTGTGACCTCTTAGGATCATTTGTAGATATGACAGCTTGGGTATGCCTGCTAAGCCAAGACGGCTCTGTGTGTGTTCATATAACAAGGCTATGAAGAAGTTGGTAAACGAATACCAAATGAACATTTTTTACCAAGAAAGTTTTGAAAAATCCCACTCTGCCATTCACACAAGTTGTCTGAATGGACACCAACCTGGGGCCAGAGCCGGTGACCCACATGTGAAAGCATCTGTGCACGCCCTGCAGATTATCCATGATTCCCAGATCCCCGAGAATGTGGAGCTGAACCCAGCGGGGGATCAGGGATGACTTACCAGTCGGTGTGGGCATCATCGATCACCAGCAGGATTTTGGGTTTCGGTGCCACGGGGGGCGCGGGGCCGGCCGAGTGGTCCATGAGTCCCGCGGCCGCTTGCGTGGTTTGCTTCATGGCGCTGGAGATGGAGCTGAAGATGCTGCTGCCAGCAGAGGAGGAGTGCGAGGGCTGCGGGGGCTGCAGGTGCTTTCTCTCCGTGGCAGGAGAAACCGGGGAGCTGGTGGAGCTGTCGGGGCGCTGCAAGTCCATCATGTAGCCATTGGGCAGATTTGCCACAAAACTGCTGTCTGAGAGACGCCGCCGGAGGAAATTCATTGCTGCAGCCTTGTGGGGAAACTTCCTCAGCAAGAGCAAGGGTGATCAGTGCTGTTACCAGTCCTGCAGGATGTCTCTATGTCTGTGTGGGCACCTCCTTAAAGTCCAGGCACACCGGCTTTACCCCTTGAAATCGTGCTGGAGGTATACGCTTAATTTTGTCAGTTATATTTTCTTTCTCTCCTGTGGGAAGAGAATCAAAGACATATACATGAGATGCATACTGTGAGACAGAGATAAGTAACCCCCTTTTGGTCTCTTAGACAGGTACCTTAATCAACACGAGAAGAAGGGACTGCTAGTTGCTATGCAGTATTCCATACTGCTACAGTCAAACGTTTAAGACAAAATATGTGTCACCATTCTTATCCCCAAATGTTTTCTGGTCAGTACAGACCAGCCTGCACCAGCTTAGGGGCTAACAATTCTATCACTGTAGAGAAAGAAGGAATTACTCTGATAAATATTAATTTTAAGAAGAGAAGCATCTTATTTAAGGCGTCTTGTGTGTTAAAAATTACAGAATAACCAGCAAATAATCCAAATGGATATGAAGTTGTATCATCTTTGGTAAGCTTGTGAGCAAGGTTCTGAATGCAAGGAACAAATGTCTGAAATTCAAATGGGATGTAAACAACAAATAGTAGAAAAATTCCCATACACATTTTATCAAGTTCAGTGACAGAAATTACTCTTTTCTGCCCCTCCTCCTCTCTGTACTCAGACTGAGCCAGGTGCTCACTGGTGGTTGCTTGGTAGATACTAGCAGGCTTTCTGATTTTAGAAATTCACTTGTAGGAATTTTGCAGGTACTCAAAACTAGAAACTTAGCTGTCTAATTTCCACATAGTTTTTTCCTCTCTTGGTATTTTTGGTTTGTTTGGGTTTTTGTTTGTTTTGTTTTAATGAGAATTTATTCTGCTCATCTCTTCAAGTAAGAAAACAAACATAGTGAAATATAAGTATTTGGCTCTTCTCCCTTGATCATATGATGGCTTTGTTTTTACTCAGAATACTAAGTATTTCAGCAATTAAATAATCTCACAGTTAAAAAAAATTCACCTCTGGGCACATCCCAGAAGACAGACTTCCACAGTAATTTCTCAAGAAATTTTTATCTGCTAAGACAACCTTTGAGTCTTGGTTGGTGAGGTTTAGGGGAAAAACAAAAGAAAATTATTACTGGTAAAACAAAAAGGTTTTTCAAGACATACATATTAGCAGCAACAAAAATGAGAGTTATCCCATACATCAAGTGAGATGAGTCTCAGGCATATGTGGTAGAATTGTTTAAATTATGCCTAATCCCCTTCAAATCTCTTTGAATGACCCCTTATAAGTACTGGAGCTGCTTGCCTTCACCTGCTATGGTCTCCCTTAATTACTCATCCTCTTGTCCAAACTCTGCCTCCTGATGGCAGAAAATTGTCTTTTCCCAGTTGTCCAAGAGAACTAATTGTGAATCTCCCTCCTGTGAGAGCTGTGGGTGGAGCAACCAGCTGTCTTAAAATAAGCTCTCATTTATTTTCACCTACAGGGATTTACAAAACTTTACAGACAGAGGACTCAGACGTGTCCATGTCCGTACCTCTCATAGCCCCAAACCCTTAGAGAGGCTCAGATGAGCCTACCTGGAAGTAAGCAAGCTACAAAGAGCCCCTTGGCATGTCCCCAAATCTCGTCATCTGTCGCCACTCAGACCCCACGGGCGTAGGATCCATCCGGAGCAGAGGGCTCCCTGCGGGAGCTGCTGACAGTGGCTTATGAGAGTAATTTTTCTTTTGATTTCTAAGCCCTGGCAGTGCAAGTCCTCTGCCTTTGCTGGAGACTGGAGGTGATCTTTTCCCAGGGAATGGCTCAGGAAATCTTTAATGACTTCCTGCCACATTCACAGTCGATAATGTATCTCAGGGTATTGTGCTGACTACCCGCCGGGTCCTGGTGCACCCGGGGACTGCACAACATCAGTGGACACACACCAGGGAGCACTTCAGTAGCACTGGCTGACTCTGCAGCAATGGTTCCAAAAAGCAGGTAATGGGGAGCACCCACGAATTGTGAGCTAGTTGCTCACCTCATGCATACACCCACACAGCATTTGTCCTAGTGCAGGAATGGTGAGTGCCAGCACAGAGTGCCAGCACAGAGCCATCCACTGTTACCTGTCCAGGATGGCCTGGGCGGCACAGCCAACAAAGGCTTTGGGGGATTTATGTACCAAACACTGGGTAAAAATGTGCTGTGCTGTCCTCCACTCAGGAACCCGTGTTTTCTCCTTGCATAACACAAATAAGAAAAATCCCCTCCCTTCAGTGACAATCCATTCAGGAGTAGGTGCAGTCCTGGTTAAAGAGGAGCATCCCAGAGATTTGTCTACTGTCAGAAGGGGTCCAAATGAGTATCCCATTTCTGTGCACAGCTATTAGGCATGCCCTTTTCTAGGGCCTCGGTGTGAACTGGCAGGACGTGGGGCATAAATTGCATCCTGGTCTTGCGAGAAGCACCTGCAGCATAAGATACCTGCTCTTTGCAAGACTTGCACAACACCACAGAGCTGCTGGTTCCTGCTGTGGCAGCTCTCAGCCACGGGAGGGAACCTGCCCCCAGCCATACAGGCTGGACAAGGCTCTTGTCACACGCCAGTATCCTTGAGACAGGATCCATAAGGACTTCCATTTTTGTGAAGGTGCTTCTTCCCCACTGCCAGGTGTTTGCATAGCTGCTTCCTCCCCTGAAAGATTTGCACTCTCCAAATCAACATGGGTAACTGGCAAAGCATCAGCAAGGGCAAATGTCTCTGCTGGGCCCTGCAGTGAGGGAAGAACAGCATGGAGGCTCATGACCTAGGGTGTCCCAAGTCTGGGTAGGTTCAGAGTATTCCATGACAGTTTTCCTCTGCAATGGGGTATCCCAAATTGTGCCCAGTGCTTGCACTAAACAATTCATCATACTTAGTGCAAAGCCATGACCACTCTCCTCCTGGACCCTTTTAAACAAGAACATTTGCAGTGACCTGTCATTTTTTTCCACCAGGGGTTCCACAGTGGGAGATGTTGCCCAAGAGATGCTGGGAGCTGGCAAAATTCTCTTGCCTAGAGAGTTTGGGATGTTGTTCTTAGTCTGGCCTTTCCCTCTGCTGGTTGGCACAGCCTCCATTATCTGCAAAGACTGGACTGCATGCTGTTGGCCTGGGGAGGAAGGAGAGGAAACCTAAGCACTGATGTCACAGGGAAACTGCCCTCTGGTAAAGCACACAGAGGTTAAAATCAAACAGGATGACACGACTGCAGCAGGGAGCAATGCCTGGCTCCACTCTGGTGTTCCTGTCAGGAATCTTAACTTTGGGCATCTCAGAGTGTCTTCCTCTCATTACATACATTTTTTCTAATGATCTGGATAATGTAATTAATATAGATTATATATTTTTTTAAATAAAGTTATTGGTGGCTTCACTGTATCGATTTGTCAATTGCCATTAGTGCCACCACAGAGATCTTCTCTGCAATGGGGGCAGTGTAAACTGCCAGAAGGTTTTCTGCCAGCATTTTACACTGCTTTGATTATTGGAAAACCTCAAAGTCTGCTTTTGTATCACTCACACTTACTGTTATTTAACTTTCAGAAGTAGGCGTTTTCATATAGGCATGGAATGAGTAGGTTAGGACCTCATTTTCCTACTGCTTGAAACTCCCTGTGGACTTCCTGAGGGCTCAGCCTGTCAGGCCAAATCTGGCTCTGCAGCTCTCATGCAGCACAGCATCTACCCAGTGCACATGCAAATCTTACCCTGGTAAGTGAGCTGGGCTGCAATTTTAAAAAGTGCAGGAGCCTACACCTGCATCAGAAGCAAGACAGATCTGCTGAGTGTTTTTTTGTTAGTCCAGAGCCACAGGCAGGAGAGCTGTTGGCTCTACACCATCGAGTCGTGCGTTCCCTGTGTACACCAATCTTCCTATGGCTCACACAGACACACATCACCTACTTAATGCTGTGCCAGCACAAGCTTGCCTGCAGGAAGGGAGCTCCCTGCACAGCTGGAAATACAGCCCATGGGCTGCTTCCAGACTGAGCAACAGCTCCTGTGCAGTTCCTCAAGCTGCAAGACAAGCAGCTGCTTCTCACCAAGCAGGAGTCTGCTGCTGCTGAGTGAAACAGCTGCTCCTGAAAGCTAGCTGGGGAAACAGCATCTGGGCCACAGAGCTGCAGGCTGGGGATCTGGACTGTGCTTCAGGGTGGGGAAATAATAACCAAGGCACAGGAGGAGGAGGAAAGAGGGCAGGGAAGAGAGATGGGGAGAGGAGGAGGAGGAGGAGCAGGCAGGAATAGATTTAACCAGCAGCCAATGCAGGAACACAGAGAAATCCCAACAATGTGAGCACCGTCAGAGAATCAAAAGGGAACAATGTGAGCAACTACATGAGGCAAGAAGAAGGTCAATCAGAGCTGACCTTGAAAACAACAGCCAAGAGGCTGGCACTGTCAGCCCCCTACTAACACGCAGTTAAACTTCCTGGCTGGTATTTTTGGAAGAGCAAGGGAGGATATGCAATCTACTCACTCAGCACACTGACAGCAGCCAAGCACCTACCTGCTTTCTCTCAAGGATATACTCCATGGAGACACAAGCTATCTCAGAAAACCTGTTGACATGTGTTAGAAAACAAGAACAAAATGTTCACTTAAACCTCTTGTTGGGTTATTTTCTGATGTGCAGGAGTGTCCGGAGGGAGCCCAGCTCAGCTGGCTGATAACTGCTGCCCATGCTTAGATTTCCCCTGAGCTTGTTCTCTCACGCTGCCAGGTAATGAACTGACACAACCACACCAGCCTGTGTCTGATTGCTGCTCTTGGCACAGCAGTGCTGGGGGCAGCAGGATGGAAAAACAATGCGGAGGGATTATCCCCCACGTCACCGTAAGGACTGAACACTTCCTTCTGCCCCAGCTGGGAGGAAAGGTGAGGGGGTGCTCCTCACCTGGCAACAACCATTGATTTACACC